GTCTCTAAGTGGAAAAAAAGAAACAAACATTTTCCACTGCACTGCCACTGCACACATAAATCGGTGGGTCTGCAGATTCGCCATCTGGACCATAGTGTTGAAGCATTCAAATGACATGGGTTATATCATATAGGCAAAGAAGCTGCCATTCAACTGTGTAAGGTACAGGGTGAACTCTGAAAGCCTAGATCTTCTACCCCAATGGACACAGTTCTCCAGAATAATGCCACTTCAAATCTGTGGACTGTAAAATGGTGCTGGTTCCAGGAAACAATTGCTGTCAGTGAGGGAAAATATAGTGCCTGCCCACAGAACACTGGGGAGAAAACCTGCCAGTCCCCAGCATCAGATAGATTAAGGAGAACTGGATGGATGGCATCCTTGAAGTGACTGGACTGACCTTGAAGGAGCTGGGGGTGGTGACAGCCAACAGGGAGCTTTGGCGTGGGCTGGTCCATGAGGTCACGAAGAGTCGGAGACGACTAAACGAATGAACAACAACAAGCCACAGTATACCATGGTTCACTGAACCACTAGCCACAGAAGATAAATATTACATTCTAATTATGCCCAATTCATATGGCTTCAACTTTCTGTGATCCGCATGAGTCTAAATAAAGCCTTCTTCAACTTTCAAACAAGTACAGGACCACATTTTAATTTTTTTAATGTGTGATTACTTGTTTCATATTCAACCTATTTTTTTCTGGAATGTGTTCAATCTGTTTAGAATGCCATTTTGTAGCTTGCATTTTTTAAAAAAATGAAAGAAAATCATAATTCCACCTTATCAGAAAGGGACCAAGCATTACAAAGAGAATTGCCTTTTTTCTTCCCCTTTTGCACCACTGTAAAGAGAGTATCTCAAAGCAACAGAGTTCTCAGAATGTTTCTCTCTGTCTTTCTGTTTGAATCCATTTTTGCTCTATGTTCAAATATCTGTTTATATGAAAGAGAAACATTTGTCATGGAGATAATAGCATATGTAAAGCATTGCTTCTTAAAATTCCCATATATTACATTATATATTATTTTTATTATAAAAAAGCAAACTGTCAATCTAAAACATTTTGTAGGTTGACAACATTTCTGATATTTTTAATAGTCACTCTGTCTAATAACACATTGAAAAGATTGGTAACTGTTGCCTATCAGACTCATGTCCACTTAGCCTGTTTAGATTCCACTTCTTGAGTGGAATCTAAACAGGAAGGCTTCTCTCTACCTTGAACTGGGCTAGATATATCCCAATTCTAATTCCAATATCAACTGAGTTATTTTTCCCAAGGAGCCCCGGTGACGCAGTTGACTAAATCACTGAGCTGTGAACTTGCTGATCAAAAGGTTGGTGGTTCGAATCTGGGGAGCAGGGTGAACTCCCACTATTAGCCCCAGATTCTGCCAATCTGGCAGTTTGAAAACATACAAAGGTGAGTAGATCAGTAGGTACCGCTCTGGAGGAAGGTAATGGTGCTCCATACAGTCATGCTGGCCACAAGACTTGGAGGCATCTACAGACAATACTGTCTCTTCCACTTAGAAATGGAGATGAGCACCAACCCCCAGAGACAGACATGACTAGACTTAATGTCAAGGGGAAACCTTTACCTTTTTATTTTCCCCAAAAGTATTTTTCTGCCCTGGTTTGCAAGAGATGAGGAAAGGGGACTCTTAAAACATGCAAAATATCCAGTTATTTATTGGATAGCTGCCAGTCACAGGAAAGCAAGAACAACGCAGTAAAAAGCAAAACAATGGGTGAAAGTCCATAAATATGTAGACATCAATCTCTCATCCCAATAAAGTATGAAAAGCCCACCAGAATTCATAGAATCATGAAGTTGGAAGAGACCAAAAGGGCCATCCAGTCTAACTGCGTTCCAAGCAGGAACACACAATCAAAGCAGTCTATCAATCCAAACAAATCCAAGCAAGTCTACAAAGGCCCGCATTGCTACTGCTGTTATTGTGTGCCTTCAAGCCATTTCCAACATATGACAGTCCTAAAACAAACCTATCAGAAGGATTTCTGCGCCTGAGACTATATGACTCACTCATGGACACCTAGTGGATTTCCATGCCCAAATGAAAAATTGTATCCTGGTCTTCAGAGCTGTAGTTCAGTGCTCAAGTCATGTTGGTTCAAAGGGAAGAAGCCCATGAAATATGTAAGAGTCTGTAAGTATGTAGCAAAAAGCGACCACAGACTAGAGTTTATCACTCCAAGCAAATCGAATCCAGGCAAATGCAGCAATACAAGCCTACCACCGTAAGGTATAGTAGATAACTCAGCTAAAATCCTTTGCTTCCTCTTCATTAAGATAAATTAAAACCATCAAAGCCAAATCCCCTCTAGATGCTTCAAATAGTGTCATCCTGAAAACTGATTCAATTAGACACTTTTAGCTTTCTCCTCCTCAAGGCCATTACTCTCCCGTTCTTATCAAAACAGAAAGATATACACTCCCTTGAATCTGCAGCACACTGATTTTAATGAGTGCATCCACTGGTTTCAGAGATGGCCTGAGAAAAAGACTAAACTGCGAAATGAAAGCTAGAAGGCTAAGAACAAAGCTAAAAGTGGAGACATCAAAGTGGGTTAAAACACTGAGATGGAGCCAGCTGCCATTATCCCCTCCAAAAAACAGGATTTTGTTTTCCTTGGCTAACTGAACTTTGAAATTCAGAAAAGTGCAGCTGTTAAAGTATAACTGTTTCACTTAACATACTAGTTCAGGACTTGCAAATAAGATGGGTTTGCAATAAATTCTGAACCAAATAAGATCCCTTTCCCACTTCACCACACCTTTGGAATATCCAATTAAATGCAAGATTTAAGTCAAAGTAATGATTTCTTCTCTCAGTGAGAAATCTGACTCATAAAGTGCAGGCCTTCAAAGTCAGTCAGAGAAGCCAGAAACTGCAACATTAGATAAGGAGTCAGGTAGAGCATTAAGTGATACAGAAGGCTCCCAGGAAAAAAAACACCTGGAGATACAGAAATAAACAAAGGTCTTCATTTACAGATCACAGCAGAAAATAGGCATAGCAGGTCAGAGTGATTACATGGGAAAGTTGGGGAGATAATTCATGGGAGATGAAATGCTTTCATGGGTGGCTATTCATTGGCAAGTTGTTTACTCAAGAGTTAGTTCAGGCACTGTAGTGCCCGAGTGAGAAGCTAGGGCTGAGTTCTCTGGTTCTTGTTTCTTGGTTTTAGGATTCAAGTATATTGGAAGTTTCTATGTTCCTGCTTTTTCATTCATGAACAAGTTTTGCTTGTGGTCTTAAGTGGCTCTTGTGATTTTTGGCTATTCCTGGACTGTATTACTTTTAAATCTGTATGAGACATTTGGATTCCTGTTGGATTATCACTTATTACTAAATCTTTTTGGATATACATCTTCTTTCTTTATTCCTAATTTTGCCAACACTTTTGGTGTGTTTTTACAATAAACTGTTTGTTTATATTCTGGACTCATGTGTGGTGCTGTGGTCATCAGTGTTTCCAGGCCTGGAGTGCAACAGGGTTCTCCATGGGAGCAACTTGGTTGGGGCTACCTTCCTCTTTAGTTTTTGGAATGCTAAATCTTACACAGTGTTCATAAATAACACATTGCAAGTAAATGTATCACTTTTGAGGATAAGTGCATAATGGATTTTTTTCTCAAAGAGAAAAAGCATAACACCAGATCATGAATTTATTGTTCACAGAATAATAAAAACAGGAGTGCAGCAGTGAATTTTGAAGGGCAGGCTCTCATCACTGCAACAATGCTGAGAAAAGTCAAAAATTGAAAGTGCTTATATTTATGCAAAAGTAGGGCATTTTGCCTAGCTGTATGTGGTTATTGTTGGATTTTTTTTACAAATTGCTCACATGTGCTAGTGGAAACAGTAGGTGAATCTACACTAGTATTAATGGAGTTTGACTCCATGTTAACTGCCATGTCTCAGTGCTAAGAAATTGTGGCAGCTGTAGTTTTACAAGATCTTGAGCCCTCTCTGTCAAGTAGTTCTGCTGCCTCACCAAACTACAACTCCTAGGATTCCATAGCATTGAGTCATGGTAGTTAAGGTCAGGTCAAACTGCGCTAATTCTAAAGTGTAGATGCATCCAGTGTTGTTTTCCGGGCATAAAAGTTATTCAAAATTATTTTTCAAAACCATAATTATAAGGCATCTATCAGACTATTTATTACTATATATCTATATCCCATCTTTGCTCCCAGGAGATGTCCATTTTTTCCATTAACGGGCACACTGTTGTACTCCAGAGCTGGAAACAGGGTCCACTTGTCATTAATACTCCATACCTTGGTTTAGGAAAAATACAATCCTTTTTATTGAATGATGAATATAAAATAGATTGAAGTCCAAAGGTAAAAAAGCCAAAATGAAACAGCAAACAGCAATGTCCAGAAAGCTTGCAGAAAATCCAAAGCAGTAATGTCCAAACAACTCTCAATAGAAATCCATGAACAGATTAGCCCCAGCTAATTCTCACTTGAAGCCAGAAATTCCCTTAGAGACCAGACCACTGGAAACTGGAAAACCCAAGACATTTGTACTTGATACTAAGATGGCTAAAGGCCTTGCAAAACTACAATTCCCAGGATCTGACAGCATTGAGCTATGGTAGCCAGTGGTATCAAACTGAATTATTTCTACCCTGTAGAAATGGATATATTTTGGGAAGCACCCTTGTATCTCTCAAGATATCATAGGAGATAATACAGTCTTTCAAATAACCTGGACCAAAGCTTTGTAAGGCCCAGCCATCTTCCGCCTATTTGAGCATATGCATATTAAGAATGCATATGGGGGAACCCATTTGAAAGTTGGGGAACATTAAAGTACATTAAAGTAATCATAATCAAACACAATGCGTGCCCTGTCATTCTGTAAAGCAAGGATGACAACTGAAACAGTTACCACAAGTGTCCCTCTCATCTAATACTTAGTATCACTGATACCAACATGAATATATAGATACATACCTAAGGTCCAATAGGTTGCTGCTTCCAGATGTGAAGGGCTACTGCATATTGCATGTATATACATAAGGTGAATCATCAACTCTGCCAGGCACCACCAGATCAAAATACGAATGGTGCCACGGATGAAAACACAAAGATTAGACTTCAGTCTGCAGGAACCGTGTTTATTCATCTGTATTAGGAATGAATACATAAATACAAATTAATTCTGTATAGAAATGCTTGTGCAGAAACAGAATGGAATTAACCTTGCATTAAAAAAATTAAACCTTTCAAAAGAGATGTCTGGAAAGCAAAGTCATAACACTGAATACATTGCATTGGCTTATGTTGTTGGGTTTTTGTAATGTCAAGGCCAACCGGCCGAGAAATTGTATTATGTACATGTCAAGTATCCATTGTTAAAGTGAAGGCCATTTCTGAACTGAAGACAGTAATGTTTAACAATGTAATGAAAAGATTTCTGCAAGGAAAGCCACACAGAGACTTGTGTGGAATGGTTACACGTGTGATATTCGATGCTTATCAACACACTACAGTATTTATTATACATGTTAGAGGTATCCTATGTAGAATATTACACTTGGAACAATATTATTACATCTAACAATCAGTTCCATCATGGGAGGGGGGGCGGGATAGGCAATTTATGGTGACTCCATTAGATCTTTAAGTGGTTTCACCTCTCATTAAAATATCAAGTATATCATCTGGTACGTTCTGGCAGTCTCCCATCCAAGTACTAACCAGGGCTAACTCAGCTTACCTCTCATAACTGGAAAGGATATATTGCCTTTAGGATGTTTACACCCTGCTAGGGAAATTTCCATAGGGTAATTTTAAAATAAAATTAAAAAATATTGAAGTTTTAAAACAAACAAAAGAAAAAGCTCAAACATGTTTGCCTGACTTCAAACATAGAGATTAAACTGGCACAAAAAAATATCAGAAATATTTTTCAAGTGCTGCTCTTAGTTCTTTGAAATATATGTGTTTGTGTGTGTATATATATGTATGCTTTTAGGATGATGACTTAAATCGGCAACTGTTTGACTGTTCAAATGTTTTATACTGTTCTTATTTAAATTGTATATTTATGCTCTTGGTTGTGGGCACCATGGTGTGCTGGTTGTTGGCCGCCCTGAGTCCCTCTGCGGAGGTCGAGATAGGACAGGATACAAAATCCGAAATAAATAAATAAATAAATAAATAAATAAGTATGTGTACACACACACACACACACACACTCACACACATACACACATACTCAGGTGGGGTGTTTTTTTATTGTGGCAGAAATAACTTGAGAGAATTGGCTGTCTACAGAGATGTTGCCAAGGGGACACTTGTGGGAGGCTTCTCTAATGTCCCCGCATGGGAAGCTGGAGCTGACAGACAGGAGCTCACCTTCAGGTCAGCAGTTCAGCCGGCACAAGGGTTTGACCCATTGCGCCACTGCAGCTCCTTACTCAAGTCATAAGACAGACAATTAGATGTGTGTGTGTGTCTTCCTACTCAGATAAGATAAATAATAATAATGATAACAACAACAACAACAACATTTTTAGAATGTATTACTCATCTCTCCTTTTGGCTCAAGGTGTGGCACAACATATTTAAATAATCTATAATATCACATATTAAATAGAGCTAAAATCCAACCATAAAAACATATATTAAGACACACATTCAGCACATGGTTCAGCAGAAGAAGTTAGGCCAGTAGAAGAGGACCTCTTATAGTCCATTCTCAGACTGGTTCTTGTAGCCCGAGTACTAACAGGAGCCTGGACTCCTTTTAGTACTCCAGTTTCAAGAGTCAGTCTGAAAATTCACTACTGTCAAGAGCCAGACTACTGTTACTCAATGTGATGACATGATGTGGTATTGAGCAATAGTATCAATCCAAGGATTTCCCACCTAGTAAAAGTTCAAAAATCACATTATATTTTTCACTAAGTCTTATTATGGTGTTTTGTCTTTATACCACAAACTAAAAATGTATATTGAAATATTAGTATGAGGATTACTAAATTATAGTTATTTAAAAAACTGGGTTGCTGGGTTGCCTGAGAGGATGCCTGTCACAGATGTGGGCAAAATATCAGGAGAGAATGCTTCTGGAACATGGCCATGCAGCCTGGAAAACTCACAGCAACCCAGTGATTCCGGCCATGAAAGCCTTCGACAATGTATTTAAAAACTGATTTTATTTCTTTGCATGTGGGTGATGGGGAGAGGCGTTGATTTATCTCGATGATCCACAATGTATCCAATTTTTGCCTCAGTGGTCTGCAGTCTCTTAAAGGTTGGGAACCACTGGAGTAGATAGAGAGATAGAGAGACAGACAGACAAACAGATAAACAATTGTATCTTATCTATCTAATTATTTATCTATCCATCTTATTACTTGTATGTTAAGTTTTTGAACTGTTGTCATGTTTTCATCTCATTCTCCACCTCGATCCACATGGAGAGACAGGTAAGGAATTGTTGTTGCCACCCATTCCTTATCCTATAAGTTGTTGTTGTCTGTACAGAATTCAGGCATAGTTACCCAGTTTCATAAATTGTATTGCTGTAGAAATAATAATCTATTCTAGCACCTATTTCACTTGTTAAAAATTAACATCTTTTAAAAGGGGTTTTAAAAGATTACCAATTACAAATCTCTCATATAAAGTGTTCTGGTGCTTCTTTTATTGGGCCAGCTCACCTCACCATTTGACTTGTCAAAAGCTAACATCTTGCTTAACAGAAGTTATAAGGAAATGAACAATAAAGAGCTTAAAAGATTTATACTTTCGTAACATTTTCCTTTTATCCCTCTCTCTAATGTCTACTCACATCCAGAAGAGAGACATTTATGTAAGCATGCTGAATTACTCTGTAAAATTTCCCTGAATCCATAATAACTAGTAAGAAATGGTTTCAAAAGAGGGATGGATGTTGGATTAGAATAGTCTCAGCCTTCAGACTTTATCACCTGTAGGGATAATTGTTCCTGGGAAAGCTTTTTGTTCTCTGACTTATCAGGAAAAGCATAATAAGTTAAAATTTCTGAGTGAATCAAGGCAATTAATGCAAGAGGAATATGTTTGTTTCCCTTCACCTTTTACATACAGGAATTTGAATATCAAAGCAAAAGAAGAATTGTTGCAATAGCTAAAAATATTAGGTGTTTCAAAACATAACATTGTGCCATAATTGTTGCCTGGGTAGGAAATTATCACCAACTCAAAAATATTTTCAGCAGAACCTCAACTGTGTAGTGAGTTCATTTTCGTTTTTATTATTCAGCATTTTAAGAATTCAAATAGCCATGAATAACATAGTATCTTCACTCAACAGAATTCAAGATATATTATATTTTATGTTGCTGTAATGTATCACTAGGCTTGGCCTCATGTAAGCCACTCTGAGTCCCCTTTGGGGAGATGGTGGAGGAATATAAATAAAGATGATGATGATGATGATGATTATTATTATTATTATTTCATCTTTCTCCTGATACAGGGATTCAACAAATTTATTTAAGACAACAGACTCCGAAATACAGTTTTTGGGGAAAATGGGAAGGGACCAGTTTGTTTAAAACTATGGCGCCCTGCACAGCTATTAAAACCATGATCTAAAGTACTGCTTGCAATCCAAATCTCTGGTTGGATCCCAACTTTGAATAAGGGTGAACAAACTTGGGCCTTCCAGGTGTTTTGGACTTCAACTCCCACAATTCCTAACAGCTGATTTTGAAGTCTAAAACACCTGGAGGGCCCAAGTTTGCCCATGCCTGACTTAGAGGTATAAGGATACCCAACATGGTCACTGTGCTAGCACAAATGGCATCCACTACTAAAAGCAGGAATTGAACAACCCCTTCTACTTCTTACCTGACCTGCTTTGAAAGGCTGGGAAAATCTCCAGAGCCTTTTTTATATTTGCAATTGTATCACATGTTTGCCTCCAACTTCACACCAAACACTCTTCTGTTTGGCATCCTCGCAACCTCTGAGAATGCCTGCCATAGATGTGGGCAAAACATCAGAAGAGAATGCTTCTGGAACATGGCCATACAGCCTGGAAAACTCACAGCAATCCTGTCTTCTTTTTGTTATCCTCTTCCATACCCAAGTATCATGTTATTCCCAATACCCGTCCAATAAGAATGGCTTTTGCGAGATTCTCATGACATTAATGGATGCTTTCAAGTTAGTAATAATACCTTAGCATGAAAAGCTAGCATTTTCTCTTTTTTTTCTTGTGTGATACACTAATGATTATCATTAGTTTATCCTCATTCTAGCAAAAGGCCTGACCCTTAATGCATTCCATAATCTCTCTCTCCCAACCTCCTTGCTTTAAAATTCGTCACAAATTCACAGATGGTACATACACATTTTTTTTGAAAGTTAGCACAAAAAGGAAAACACATTTGTTGATATATCTGCAATTTTATCCAGATTCTCAAAAGATAGGAGGATTTCATGCTAATTCATAAATTCCAGACAGATATTGAAGATCCATCTAGCTATTCTTGATATGCTATTGCATCCCAGCTTGATAGACAAAATGCAAGAAAGAGCAATTCACTATCTCCTTATGCCAAGATCTCTTAACTCCTCCGTTATACAGGATGTTGACCATAAAATTGTACACATTTAGCAATTTGTTCTGTCTAGGAATCTCTGGCTCTCCCAGTATGACACACAGGAAGAACTAGAGATTCCTAGAGATGACCTATTCATCCAACCCATAATCAAATCAAAGTAAAATCCACAAATGTGAATGGCCAACTTTATCAGCATTAGGGATTTTTGTTCTCCATGCTTGAATGTAGTTTCCAGAAATTACATTGCTTTTACAAATGAATACGTTCATATGCTCCATCCATTCCACTTTCAATTATACTGCATCACTTCTTTCAATTTTACTTGTTTATTTACTTACTCTTTGTTAGCATGTTAGTGTTACTCTCACTGAACACACAAAGAAATGCTATCTGGTTCACCCAAGGAGCAAAGTCAAATACAGTGGAACCTCTACTTAAGAGCACCCCAACGTAAGAACACTTTGAGTTAAGAACTGTCACTTGGCCTGAGCAGCATTTTGAGTTAAGAGCTAGCGAAAGAGGGAGAGCTAGCATGAGTACAGAACTTTAAGGCTTCAAGGGA